AAAATCACGAAATTTCTTTACTAAGGCTCTGATACCACATGTTAACTTTATTTGATCAAAGGAATCAACCAAACCCTAATTCCAAGTTCTATATTCTCATATTGTAGAATTAAAACATCATAATTTATATACCTGAAGCTATTGATATAAATTTTTTAGTTTCTTGAACAAGAAGAACAATATTTTGGTGTAATTTGAAAATATAATTTCTCTCTCTTAACCTTTAATGTAAGATACACAAATCAATAGGGCATATGCACATTTATAGATAGAGAGAGAACTGTTTTACTAGATTAACATGAACTCCACTTCCCATTAAAGTAGGATATTAAAAAATTACTATTTTTCATTGACCAATTAAACAATATCAATTAATTGGTTAGTTTGAAATTGTCAACCTTATTATTATCTTGACCTAACCAAATCACTAATTAATTAGTCATTAATAAATATCACATATCCTACAAAATCACGTGAGCCACGTTTAAATCTTATAGAGCCAGCCCTTCTCTCGTTCTCTGTGTGTGGATCTCGAATAGTCAAACTCCAGCTACGAATGTTCAGTTTCTGAACATTTTGTGGATAGATATAATATTGGGGTTTAGATGATGGGATGTTTTACAGCTAGGCTGTGGGTGTTAGAGTTTTGTAGGAAGAAACAGAAAGAGATGACGGTGTGGAGTATGGAGTTGTCATTTCTCTCTGTTTTTTTGTTTGTTTGTACTGTTGTGTATGCTGTATAGTGTCCAGAGTCAATAACTCCCTAATTAGTATACACATTAATTATGAATATATTAGTATACACAGTGAATATTAGGACACAGATAATGTATGTATGTTGAATATATATTATAATTTTTAGTTAAATTATTATATTTATAATTTTATAATTATTTTATTATATGATCGATTTGACCAATTGACCTAACGATTATACTAATAAACTACTGACCCGGTCCATTTGTTGATTCGGTGTTCGGTCCGCTTCTAAAAACATTCTTCCATACACGCGTATTGTTTACATCATAAAAGACAATTTTTTTTTAAAATATAAAACTTAATTTCAAAAAAAATAAATAATATGTATGTTAAGTTTTCAAAGGGCCACATTATAATTGACACCTAGGGCTAGGACCCCAACATACAGGGGCTGGCCCCTGCGAGCGTGGTAACAACTCATATCATATGAAAGCCCATCAATTGTATATTATATTAGAGGTAATCTGTATTCGAAAATACAAATACAATATAAATAAATATGAATAGTTTTTGATGATACCTTAAAATAAATCCCAAACGCCAGCGCAGAAGGTCAGCTTAGTCCAGGAGGTCAGACTAGACAAACAGAACTCGAAAGAGTTGAGCTGGAGGTTCCTTTGAGATAAACAATGACAATAACAACTAAGACAACAACTGGAAGATCACAAGAGGTTCCTAAAAGTGTTAGGAAGCAATAATCAAGACACTTAATCGCAACCAACCAAGATCTTCTCCTATAATCAAGGAGAACCCTACGAAATAAGGGTAATAATTTCAGCTAAGATCCCACTGAATAGGGAACAGCCCTATAAATACTATGTAACACCCCCAAGGAACGAGAGGAACCCTAAAGACAAAAACTAGTCATTGTGCACTTGTACTCTTGCAATCATCATATAGAAAGACAAGGAGATCTAATCTTATCATAACTGTACTTATCAAAAAGTAGTGATCGTCTCACCTTACCGCCTCACTAAACCTATATAATGTAAATCCTCTCCACATAGAGAGCATCACTTTATGACCTTACAACCTTAACATCTCATCAACTTGAGACTTATACATCTGCATTCCAAGCTTCTACCTCTAAAGGCAGTGTAATTCTCCCGAAACATATTTTTACGGTGATTTTTATTCATCAATAAAGATTCTTGGTCATCGCTGCCATTCTCGAGAGTGGAATAAGTCACTTGGATCGAACCACTATAAATCTGCGTGTTTATTTTTATTTACTGTTTTGTCATTGATTACCTATTTATTGCTCATTAATTACACCTTTTCATATACTTACCTGTTGATCTTGTGTAATATCAATTTGTGCATCATCAATATTAATTTATTATACTAGCTATTAGGTGGTATTTCAATATATCCATATACATAGGTCTATTGTCACTGTTGCAACCGGGTGAGGATTGGAACCCAAAAAATAATATTGAACATAATTTACATAATAAATAGCGTATAAGTGAGTCTCATGTACTAATCTATTCTACCCTACCACTTAATACCCAGTTATCCGACAAACAAGGACACTCCAACAACCAAGCGTTTGTCTTTGGAATCATTCCACGGCCTGGTTAAAGGAGGACGTATGAGCTAATTTTGCCTTTTGGGGATTGCTTAGAGCCACATTTAATCTCTTTCCATCCCCTCTGGATTGGCCACCCTTGTCCTTAAGAGAAGCTCAAGTTGTGATTAGTCGCCACCCTTGTCCTTAAGAGAAGCTCAAGTTGTGATTAGTCATCGAACTCAAAAAAATAATTAGCACAAATCTAAATATCATATAACCAAAAAAAAAAAAAAAAATACACTTAGAGTTCGCTCCACCGAACCCATGAGTATTATACAAATAACTGTATAAAGAAATATATAACATGACAAAAACAACAAAAAAAGTTATCAAAAAAAACAATGGATTACATTTCTAACTTTTAATCTAATTTAGAGTGTAATATAAAATTTTTAATATTTAAAAGTGCAAATTGAGATTTGAAAAATTATTTGAGATGTCGTTCACTAAAATCAGTCCCCAAAATCATGATAAACAATTAAACAAAACCAAAATGATGGAAGGGTCTCCAAGTTAGTCACATTTTCAATTTAATGATTACATTGAATTGAGTTTCTAAACTAAGTCCAAACCCTATATGCTTAATATGTAGGCCATCGGAATTTGAGACAAATCTCCAATATTGTCCCTCGACATCTTTTGTTTTCTGCATATTAAATTTGAATAAAAACATATTAAAAGTAAATTTTGGTTATTTACTCAAACTCATATCTATATCTATACTATTAATAAAAGTACTATAACATGAAATTTTTTTGATTCTCAAATATGCCCTTGATCATTATTGCAATGTCCATTTAATCCCTGATTCAATAATTAGCATAATTATAATCAATTTAAGTTTTTGTCCCTACATATTTGGGGACTAAATTTCTGATTGGTGTATGGTTCAATTATCAATTAAACTTGGATAACTTCATAGACAATTCAAATTTTAAGAATTAATTTTTAACCAATTGGACCTCTTTATATTCTCTATTATTTCACATCACAAATTGATTCAAACTTTATGAATTCGTTCTCATCAATGACCAGTGTATTAGATATTAACTCGAGACCTTTCATTCAGGCATCAATATGTGGCTTCCTTTACAAAATGATAAACAAGGTGAACGGGTCTCTCTTCCAAAGTTCTCTAGTTTAATCTCCACAATATGATCTCTCCTCTATGTATGCATGTGTGTTTAATTTTGTATGTGTATACACATGTATAACTGAGTTGTTTTTTTTTTAATTTCAAATATGACTGGCTTCATCTATGCATGTGCTAAGAACATTATCTAATATCTAGCACAAACGAAATCAAGGATTGTAGTAGCAATAACAAAAGCATGTATCCTAAATAATTTTTGAATTGAGGTATACACTTGGTTCTTTTTTTTTTTTTTTTTTTAATTCATGTTAATACTGGTCATGCTTATAAACAAAGAAACCCTATCTTTTATATATTTGTGTCGAGAGATATAGAAAGTTTTTTAATTTTTAAATTTATCCTTAATTAATAATATAAAGTTAATCATAAATTTTTTTATATCTTTAGAATGATTAAATATAATAGGTTAATAGTTATTGTCATATGTTCAATAAAGAGAAGGTAATAGAAGGCTTTACTTAGTCTTCCCTCCATATACAAGTGGATTATACAAATAAAACCAACCGTTTTGCCTCTAATTAGCCCATATGTTATAATGGTGGTTGCTAGTTTCTAATCATAATATTTTATCAAGACCCATTTGCTGATGGTAGTTAGTCTGTAATAACTATAAATAGACATTGGTTATTTTTTATATTTTATCACATTGTTTGTCTTTTAAATCCATTTTATTATTTTATCATTTTTTTCTATTGAAGGGGAGAGCGTTTTAATAGAATATGAATTTTGGACATTTAACTGTTAATGTTTATTAAAGTAGTGAATTTTACAAGAAAAAAAGTGATCAGCAATTTTAAAATATAACGTTTTATATGAAAAATGGCATACGGGCAAACGCATAGGGGCAACAACTAGTACCTAATAAAAGGAGATTTTAAAATCTTTAATCAAATTTTTAATAGTCAAATTTTATACTCTTAAGATCCCGTAGTTATATTTCTCTCACCTTTAAATTTAGGGTTGTCATCTTTTAAATTTAAGTTCGTCCTCTAAATTTGATTTCGTCAACTAGAACGTTTTGTATTAAATCAAATTTTTTACTCAAATATTGAAACAAAATTAAGTAAAAATTTGAGCAAAAGTTAGAGATGACCTAACAAAAGAGTAATTATATTGGAACCGAAAAATTAACCTATTAATTAACGTGATAATGAGACACTGACATAATTCAATAAAATTATATAGGATTCTTTAATAAATAGACACCCATTTGGGTGGGACGAAACTGGCACCGGTATTGAAAATAGATTTTTAGCAAATAAAGTATACTACAGCTGGTTCCATCGCAACCATTGGCAAGGAGGTATATCCTTATTTATCGGACCATCCAAAGTCTGCTTGTTTTTTTTTTTTAATGAACATATTAAGAAATATAAATAGATTTTAAACTTATTTTTATCTAACATTATACTGTGTGATCGTAAGAATCCACTAATACCAACAAGCCCAAATTTAAACACCATTTTAAAATGGTCTCATTCTTTTTTTTTAATTGTATGCCGGACCTTCCTTATACTAGTGAGCAAGCATGTTTCCAGCCCAAATTCTTGCTCCCCCGCCAAATGCTAGGTATGCTCCAGGCTTTGCAGGTTCCTGAGGAAGGACATAGCACACTAAATTATCTAACAAATTATTTTTAACTAAATTCAGTTGCATATATATATATATATATATCTCGCCCAGAGTACTACTTTCCAACCTTTGGGTATTTTGTAACCTGCAGAATGTGTTAATTTAGATAGATGTGGGTGTGAACTTATATCAAACATGCTTCCTCGCTTACTACTTGGTTGGACTTGAAAACTTACGTCTGGGACCAAAAGGGTAGTGGCAAAAGTTTATAATAAACGATGAAGATTACTAGGAGTTATCTCAAACCAAAGTAAGAGAAGGGTCTCAAATGAATAGGGATCCTTAGATGAGTGGGTTCGTTGAAAAAAATTAACGGGATTCATTGATTCAAAGATTTCTACTGATTTGAGATATAATTTGGGATCCCGAATATTATTAAAAATTAATTGGTTTAAAAAGTTTAATTTAGGCTACATATTTGGTCCCAAATTTTACTTAGTAGACAACACAAACAACACATCTCGACAAATAACTATCAAGGAATAAAGTTGAAATAAGCAAGAAGAATGGTTTGCTACCTTTGTAATCAACGTCTTTGGTAGCTGTTCGAAATGTAAATGCTGCTATGTTAGCCATTCTTATTGTTTCTTCCACCACCTGTACACAATAGTGTTGTATTTCAAAATAATTGGTGAAATTATAAGTTTACCCTTCATGTTTACATATATTATGGGCTGTCCCATGCAAACCCCAATCCAACCCAACCCAACTGTACCCTCTCTCTCCATTTCTCTGTCCTATACTCCTCCTCCTCTCTCTTTCCACCCAACAAAAACCATTGCTATGAGGTGTTTACTGACCAACCTTCTTAGCCTTTACAAAAGATAAACATTATATATAGCACGAGTATGAAAGGGTACCCTGTTCGTATACTGCAATTTTGAAATCTCATCACTTGTGATGAATTCCCCATCCTTGTTCTTGCTTAAAGGCACGTGTTCCTCTTGCATTTTAAAATGGGAAGGCTCATACTTGATGGTGTATTATTAGATAGTGATATCTATAATAAATATTTACTCTTCTTAAACATAGAAAGGACATACCCGGAGCTTTCGGAGGTACTTACAAGATAATAGAGGGCCCACATTATTGAAAGGGAAGTGGATTCGTAGCCTGCCACAACAAGGCTAACAATGTTATCAAGCACCTCAATGTCCTTTAATGGCTTCCCTTCATCATCCTTCAACGTCATCAATCTACCCATTACATCGTCCTTGGCGCTGGCACCATCTCGGTTCTTCCTCCTCTTTTCCATCTCCGCCCCGAAAATCGTTAAGGCTTTCTTTCGACACTGCAATTAAAAGTATATAGTTGTGTTAAACAGTGTTTTCCAGTTTAACCTGCAGCATTTGCCTCCTAATGCTGAATCAACTTTTCGAATTTCATAATTCATTGATTCTCTATGGTTTTACTATGTTATGTCGAGAACTAACTACTTTTTCCATGAGGAAATAGAATCAGTTGAGTATCATATGAAACACAACCAATGAAACATGATATTTTGGTCAAAGTCAACGTACCTGTATCGGATATAATATTTGTCGAATAAATTCAAGATACGGATCATACGTATCCGATAATTAATAAAAAATGTGGATACTTTGTAGATATTTTTACACATAGAGTAAGATGTACAATTTTTAATTAGACAATGCTATTGAGACCTAATTTATTGACATAATTTACTGATCTAATTTATTGTGACATTTGGATTCACTGTAAACTCCATCAAACATTAAAACTTGGTATTGATCCAATGATTTTTATGAAGCCATATCATTATGTTAGCAAATTTACTTTTTTACTATACCCTCTCTCTTTTTGAGTACACATATAATGCAATAAATCAACAAAATTCCATTTGATTTTGAAGGTATAAGTGTTTTTTAAGTATTATCTACTATGACATGTCAAAAGCGTATAAAAAATGAGTTAATTACACTATAATATTAAAATAAATACTTGTAAACAAACAAATTAGTTAAATATATTAGTTATGATTCTTTTAATGAAATGAAATTACAATTTTTTTAAAGTAAAAATTGCTAATTTTATTTATTATTGTTAAATAATTATTAAAAATTATAAAATTTAAGTTGTTAAATAATAGTAAAATATAAAATATATTTTATTATAGACGTAACTTAGCCGTACCCTATCCTATTTTTTCAAATTTTGTCATATTATCATATTCGTATTGTATCATACCCATATTTCTTATCCGTATTTATGCTTCCTATATCATAGCAAACAATGTAAATCAAAGGAGCCGAGGCTGCCTAGCAACCTCAGCAAAAAGTATCCATGCCAACAAAGAAGCAAAATCGGTAGGTAGGTTTTAATAACTTGAAAAAAATAAGTCGGTTGTTATGCATGTCACCTGTTTCTTCTCCACATGGGTAATGCTCAATAATTCTACTATCGTGATACAATAATGTTACACACACTATCTTTCTGCACCATTTTAATACGAATCATTAAATTAATGAGTCTTGAAGAATTCATTAAATATCTTAAAGTTGAAATCATGTTAAATCAAGTGGTATAGAAAAGATGGTGCAAATATCATTATTGATCTCTAAAACCCCACAACAACGATTGAGAAGAACTACCGAACGTTTGTTAATTATAAGAGAAATGTTATTTTGATTTAAAATGTAGATTTAATCAATTATAATTACTGAATAGATAATAAGTTCCAATAAATATTGGGATTCATAATGAATTCAATATGAGCGATTGATCACGTCTATATTTTAAGTTCATTTAACATTGCTCTAATTGTAAATCAGTGTAAATACCTAGACACCATAGTGATAAGCAGTTCCAGGAAATTGATAGGATTAGTTACATTAAAGTTTTTCACTTTAGAAGTATATTATAGTACAAATATGATACGTCTCCATACATAGGACCAGAGAAAAGTCCAAAAAAAGGATTAAAAATTACCTAGGAAAGAGATAAGTCAGTAACAAATATTTGCTAATGACAATGGTTAATGCCCTTGCTGAAGTAAAAATGGTTAATTGTTCAATCAAGAAACTAACTATGAATATCCTACGTCAATGGATCATCTAAATAAATCACGAAGAAACATCTTACCTGCGACGCTTCGAATCAATGAGCTCATCAGGGTTGCGGAGAAACTTGAAGTACCAAAGAAATGTTAGCATTCCTCCAAAAAATGGAACACCCATGTAGCCAGGAGGAAGCTTGGTGCCAATATTAGAACATCGACTTTTAACAGATAAACCATAGCAGAGATCGTTCCACCGCAACAAGAGCCATATGGCGAGCGGCTCAACTCCTACAACCCTTGTCAAACACATACCAGCAGTGAGTTCCATCTCTTTCTTCTACACCTCTCTTCTAGAGCAATGGTTGTCCTTGTGACGGGATTGATTCTACGTATAACCCACTTTATATATACTTTGCAAGAATGATTCCTTCTTGATTACTCGAGTGAGTGTCGCTAATAATTAAAATTTTGTTTTGGTGTATTGTTTCGGTTTCTTAGGAAATCGAAACATTTCGATGTGTTTCGAAAACGTTTTGACCGGTTTCAGAAATAAAATAAAAAAATAAAAAATTTAAGAATTATTTTTTTAAAATATTGGTTGAAATATACCAAAATATCTTAAAATACTTTAAAATATTTTGAAATAATTGTACAAATATATTAAAATATAGCAACATTTCGAAACATTATAAAATACCTCGAAGTATTAGAATTTCGATTTTCTCACTGATTTGTTTTGGTCTCCTTGAAAACGGAAACGTTTCAGACATTTTGACAATTTCAAAACGATATTTTGATCCTTGGGTGTTGCTACTACAAGACATAGATCGATATAAATATTGTCCAACACGATGAGACTGAAAATATATGATAAGGTATTGAGAGATCAGTACAAGTAGCATTTTTCTGGGTTGATTGGGTATATCGGAAATTCGTTTGGATTATATTAAATTATTAGTCATTACCTATGCCTGAAGGTATTATATAACAAACAAAAAATTCTTACATAATTGTCCAAATTCAAAAAGAATGGTTTAAAAATATTCATACAAATTTTTCTTTTAAAATGATTCAAAATATATTACCGATTATATCCTCCATACTAATAGAATTGTCGTAAAAATATATAAAGCTCTTCAAAACAACATTATATAAACAGATGCCTCCGGAAAAAATACTAACATAATCCATTAAAATTTATAATATTTAAGTAATAAATAAAATTTTGCTCATTTATAAGACTAATGAATTTATCACCTTTTCCACCACTCAATCCAATAACATAATATAATTATAAATACAATCACCATATTTTCAATCCACCCTATCCCCATGTAATAAATATTTCAAGCCACAAAAAAAAAAAAAAATACTAACATAACGCAATTAAATTCATAATCTTTAAGCGATAAATAAAATTAATAAAATCTTCCTCATTTATAAAACTCGTGAATTTATCACCACTTTAATCATTCAATCCCAAATGACACAATAAAGTTATAAATTTAATTACCAAATTTTCAATCCTCCACATATAAATATACACAGAAACATACTCTTACACATTTATTTTTTGACTACCAACAAACCTTCTTAATCAATAATTATTTTTATTAGAAATATAATAATTCAAGTTTTTATGATAAAATAATAATAAAGTAATATCTAATTAAAAAATAAGGTAAAAAATATGGACTTCGCCTGAGTTTTAACAATATTATGCGGACACCCCCTGATATTTTATAAGTAACACGAAAATCTTTGGAGTTTAAAATTTATTACACAGAGACCTCTTCTGTCTCTCTTCCTTCAATATTGATATTAGAAAGTGATGATTTTATCCCCCAAAAAAATTATTATTTTTATAGTTGTCTTTCACCAACTTTAGTTCCCAAAAAAATTAAAAATTTAATAAAATAAAATAAGATTTAATTTAGTAATCAAAAAGTTGATATAATTTAGTACCCAAAAAATTGATTAAATAAATTTTAATATTAATTTGATAACAATAAAAATTAATTTGATATTAATTCGACAAAGTTGAAAATAAATTGGATAAAATTAAATGTCAATTTTTGATAAAAATATATATTAATTTAAAATTTAAGGTTCATTTCGTGTTGAATATTATTTGTTGTTGATTAAACCAACATGAAACTGACCTTAAATTATAATTATTTTTGTTGTATATAAACTTAAAAATTTGTACTTTAACTCATAAAATTTAAATACAAATTTTTTCATATCATAACGTATTCTCTCTTACTATATCATTTGATAATTTTTTTTTTGGTCAAGATTCAATCATACATACTTAAATCAAACAAATTGTTAACCCCTACTTTTTTTTTTTTTTTAAGAAAATCGCTCACCTCCATTTGTTAAATTCAAAAATCTCTGGTTCACATAAAAATAAGTGAAAGTAAATTAAAAAGTTGACAAAAAATATTCAAAAATTGATAGTTTGAAAAAATTTTAAAAAATTAAGACCAAAATTATAACAAATAGAGCAAACATTAAAAAAAAAAACTAAAAAAATAATCTATATAAAAACCATTATCAACGAAAATTTTAGAAGAATTTAGGTCCTAAATCAATTAAGACATAATTTTAGGCAAATATGTGAAATTCAGATAAAACAGTCTTCAAATCGTGAAAAATGTGTGTTATTTTTTATTTACAATAAGTATTATTTACAAATTAAGAAGCAAGTGACAAAATACATATTGTCAGACATATAACATTTTCAATTAAATTTATGGAATAAATAATTGCATAACACGTAGTTTCATATATTTTGTGGAGTAGATAATAAAAAAATAACAGTTAAAAAACAGAAGAAATAAGATAATAATATGAGAGAGAGAAAAAGAGAGGGTATAAGATATATATATAAAGACAGTAAGATGAGCGATAGAAGTCTTTGAAAAATTTGGCATGAGAACCGTTAGAGCAATAATTGTCAAATAATCTGAGCCGCGAAAAATTAAAGATAAAGAAATATAACTACTTTATTATATAGATTTCTGGGTTGTATTTGTCTTGATAGGCTTACGACAAACACCAACAACTAATGTTTTGTTTTTCAATAATGTTATGTTAATTGAGTTTTCTCATCAAAAAATTAAAAAAATTATTTCAAGTAACGCCACACAATTTTTATTATTAAATAAATAGGTCCCATTAATATGCAATGATGAATATTATAACATATCACTTAAGATAAAAAATTTAAT